TTTTTTTTCTAAGTTCTTTTATGACCAGTTCAAATGGGAACATGTGGGTTCGAGAGTGAAGGACACCCAGTCACCTGCAGTACCTCCTATGACCACAGGCAGGCTCCAAAACTCAAGTTTTTGAGAAGATTTCTCTGGGGCACTTTCTGTGAACCAAGGTCATGGAAAATCACAGGACAGACCTAAATGCCTGCTCACTGTTAATTCACAACGTGAAATGTGACTACCCAATTCTTACTATCTAGTAGTTCCTCTAGGCAGGAAGCCTATTATAAGGCGAATAACTCCCCAAACTTCCAGCTTGCTGGGGCCCCAAATTTGTCATCCTTGCACCCCTCCCGTTTTCTCACCTATTCACAGCCCCTTGGTCAGACCTTATCTTCTTGATTCCTTCCACTTCATTCTACCTTCTTGACCCACCCTGGTCCAATCTCATCCTGGCCTTCCTGGATAACTTTATGGCTTCTTCACTAGCCTTCTGCTTAAAATCTTAAAATCCACTCTCCAGTCTGGCTGGTGTGGCTAAATGGTTGAACATGGACCTATGAACTAGGAGATCATGGTTCCATTCCCTGTCATTGATGTTTCTCGCTCTTCCCTTCCTCTCTGAAATCAATAAAAATGTGTTAAAATCCACTCTCCATGTTGCAACCAAAGTTACCTTCTAGAATACAAATCTGACATGTCCCTCCCCATGGCTGCAAGGCTGGAGTGATCCGCCCCTCCCACCTCACCTGGGTCTTTGCTTCCCCTTCCATTGCTAGGCTTCAAACACATTAGCTTCTATTCTGTTCAACAAGCTGGGCTTGTTCCCACCTAAAGACTCGGGCACTTGCTGCTTCTCCACCTGGAATGCCCTTTCCCCAGATTTCACACCGACTCCTCTTCGTTTTCTTTGTTCCAGGGACCTCACATTGCAAAAGTAGGTCCCAGTCTTTTCCCGCTTTCATATTGTGCTTCTCCTCTGTGAACAGACTTGGTGAACTGTCACTGAGGGAACTTGGCTCTGAGGGCCTGGGCTTTCAATTTCCAGGAGAAAAAGCAAGTTACAGAGGGAAGAAAGGCAGGTTCAGGTATGGGGTCCTCGGAAAAGCAGGGGCCGGACAACCTAGGGAAACCACCCCTCTCCACTTCGGTTCCCTACGTCTCCCCTGGCCCAGGGTAGAGGAGGCCAGAGGGATGCGGAGGAGTGAAGGGGAGAAAGTGTCCATGCCTTGGGCATGGCGGGGCCCTAAGTGGCGAGGACAGCGGTCGGCAGCGAGCAACCCTTACCCGGAGGCATCCCGGGCCACGTAGTGGGGCTGGGGGCCGGAGGGTGGGGGTGGGGCCG